AGCATAATGGGGTCCCCATCGCTGACTAGGGTTCCTAGGAGCTACAACACAGATAATAAATTACAATCCTAAATCTAGCCCCAAACCTAACCAGAATATTAAACCTAGCTAAGGGAGTCTATCAGTCCCAAACAAACTGGGCAGGGAGAGTCCTACCAACCTCAGCCTAAATCTTAGCCTGGGGCTCCCTTGTGACAGGCAGGTTTGGGTTAAATGCATTTATGTTACAATAATGCTATGCACCTCAGTTTATCTAATCATCTTGTGCACTGGGAAAAGGGTGAATGGTGTTTTGAAGCAAGCCTGTGAGAATCAACCTAAGTACTCACCTAAGGGGCCATCAAAGAAACAGTGAACCAGTATGCATATGTTGACTCATCCTGGCCAAAGTGTATTCACACCCCAGGACTTGGAGAGACTACCTGTTGTTTTTTGCTAGAAAGGCATTTTTGTTGTTTTGTGCCAGCAAGGCATTTCAGAGAAGACCAGTACAAAGAGAATTTTGAAAAGGGAATCTCCAGAGCAAGAGGGGAGAAAGGAATACAGGATGAAAGAAGACTGTGTCTTGGGAAGGAACAGCTGGGGCTGCTTACCTGATAGGGGTACTCTGCCTGTGGGCCCTCACTCCTATCCCTAGCTGGGGCAGACCCAGGTCCTACCTTGCCTATGACTAGGTCCCTAGAGCTCTACAGACTTGTGTCCCTTAAGCCCCAATCATGAAAACATTCCTGGTTCTTTCACCCTAAACCTAACCTTAGCTCAAGCTACTCTAACACTTCCAATCTAGCTCTGGCTGGGAGATCTGTAGGTGCCCCCTTCCTCAGCAAAAAAACCCAAAACCCAGACAACAAATTTGGAGACACCTGAACCCCATCCCTGAGTGATCATTAGTTGCTACAACCTGCAGTACCAAGGTGAAAACAACCAGGCCATGGAGTGGCCCTACTACTGTGAGAACAGCGGTGTGTGAGCAGCCTGTGGAGCCCCTGCGCTTAGGCTGGAGAGCCCTTTCAGTGTCAGTCATGACTTCAGCCTGCAAACTTTCCTCTTTTCTAATATTAATCCTAAATCTAACCATAATTCTAACCCTAGCTCATACTACTCCAGCAGCTCCAGCCTAGCCATGGGGAGGCAGGCCCAGGGCAGATCCAGAGGGGATGCAGTGGCACAGCTACACTCCCTTTTCTGACTACTCCGCAAGAGCAGAAGCCCAGGATTGTAAGTCCCAAAGAAGGTAATCATTCTCTCCTCTCTTCCCTTTCATGTTCAGTTGCACATCCACTCCTTCTTGGCTCCCTTGCCTGCTGCTGTCAGAGGTGGATTAAGGTGTACAGGGGCCTGGGCAAACACAAAATTGAAGGCCATCTCCCACCATGGGAGCTGGGCTGCAGAGTGGGGGGAGGGGCCCCTTCCCCTCCTGGTGCTGGCAAGGGAGGCTGGGGGGATCCTGCCGGGCTGTGGGTGGGGGGCACATGCCCCGCTCTTCTCCCTGTTCCCCACCCCGTCCCCTCTGCTATGGCCAAACATACACACACAGGCATACCCACAGATGGGTATGCAGTAGGGCTGTGCGAAACAGCACAGTTCCACTGTGACTTCTATTTTGACATTTCAATGGAACAGTGGTTTGTTTCGAGTTTCGTTTTGTTTCAAAAGCACTGTTCCATTTCGCTTCATCAAAACTGTTTCGCTGTTTCGACGTTTCGCCCATAGGCTATAATGGGGAAGCATGAAACTGCCTATAACTTTGCCATTTCTTGCCTGATTCAGATGAAACTTGCAGGAATAGTAGCCCCTTCTGAGGGCATGAAACCTGCCATGTTTCAAGGAGATAGGTGCATAGGTTTCTGGGAAACTGCACCTTAAGGTGTTGACAAGCAAAACTCCTGTCACTTGCTGGCAGCGGCAGCCTCCTGTCATCTGGCAGGCGGATCCGTGGTCTTGCACCCCTGGGAGCGCTGTGGGGCTGTGCTGGACTCCTCCCAGGGATGTGGGTCCCCAATCTGCCTGCTAGATCACAGGAGACTGCTGCCGCCGCCTGGAACCATTGCTGGGTTCATCCCACACTCAGTACCAGGAAAATTGGTGCTGCCATTGGCCCCAGGTGGCAGCAGCATCCTCCTGTGATCTGGCGGGCAGATTGGGGCCCACATCCCCAGGAGGAGTCCAGCACAGCCCCTGCAGCCCTCCTGGGGGTGCGGCCAGGCCCTTGATCTGCCTGCCGGATGACAGGAGGCTGCTGCTGCAGGCTGGGACCGGGGTTGGGCGCAGCCTTTGCCAAACGCCAGGAAGGTGGGTGCTGCCACTGACTCCAGCTGTCAGCAACAACATGCTGTCATTTGGCACATATATCCAGGGGCCTGCACCCCTGGGAGGGCTGGGGACTGTGCCAGAATCTTCCCAGCGGGCGCAGCCCCCGGATCTATGCTGGATGACAGGAGGCTCCTGCTGCTGGTTTCAAAACTTTCAAAATGTTTTGAGTGCACTTGTTTTATTTCGAAGCTGTTTCGAAGGCTTTTGTTTCATTTTGATTTCACTGGTTCAAGCCTGAAACTCCTCAAAACAGCTTCAAAATGAAACACACAGTGAAAATTTTGCACAGCCCTAGTATGCACTCTGCTCTCACTCACTCTCCGCACATGGACACACAGGCACAAACACACTCTCCCTGCAATAAACAGATATGCATGCATGCACATGCACACACATGCAGAAACAGACACATACAGATGCACAGACATGCACACAGACACACAGGTGCATGCACAAAGATGCAGACGCAGATGCACACAGACATGCACACAGACATGCAAGCACACACACCCTTTCCCCCCACAGGATCCCCCTCCCCCCCATCTCAATCAGGTTGAG